CGCCCCCGTCCTCCGGGGCGAGAAAAGCTGCTCCCCATCTCCCTGGTCTGCAGGGAGACGGGGAGCAAAGCCTTGGAGCACGCCTGCAACGGGACAGCCCAGGTGCACCCGGGCTGTCCCGCTACGGGCGTGCTCCAAGGCTTTGCTCCGCGTCTCCCTAGTCTGCTGGGGGGGGCTCCCTCCCCAGCAGACCAGGGAGACGTGGAGCAGCTTTTCTTGCCCCGGAGGACGCGGGCAGCGGGACCGCGGCACATCTGGGCGTCCCGCCGCTCCCGTCCTCTGGGGCGAGAAAAGCCCTGTTCATAACTGCGGATCCGACATAAGTCGGATCCGCGTAACTCGGGGACTGCCTGTATTTCAAAATAGCACTCATTTCAAAATAGAGTGCTTTTCCTCCCCCTCCCACCACTTTCATTACTAATCATACAATGAGTGTTACAGGAGTGCGAGTCCTCCAGCCTGACAGTATTTTGACACTTTCGAAATAACGGCCTGCTGTGTAGATGAGGACTAAGTTATTTCAAAAGAATGTTTCTGTGTAGACGTACCCCAAGAGATACAGCTATCCAGAAGTGTTTTCTTTGTAGGCATCTGAACTCTTTAGTAGTAGAAATGTAGCCATGTTAGTCTGGTGCAGCTGAAACAAAAAACAGGACTGTGTGTCTTTAAAGTGCTACACAGTCCTGTTTTTTGTTTGAATGCTTTAGGACACTGCATATCAAACCTACAGCCCATTATATTCCCCAAGCACGCTATAGGGAATGTTAATTTCTTATCAAATGCAGTCAGAGAGCATTCAAAACTTGTACTGACCCAAGAAGCTTGTGTCCTGTGCTATGCTTAATGGCTTTAGTAGTTGTGGCTGCCATCAGGTTCTCACAAGGATCTCTACCTGATGAATTTACTCAGGCTTGCTGTTCATAAAGAGGGCTGATGCCAAATGTTAGAGTAGACACTTCATGTATTCTGGTCTGAGAGTTTTCTTGCTAATCCAACAGCATCTTGGATTAGACAGCAACAGCAAAGTTTCAGGGCAGAAACTTGAACAAGAGTACTAAGTAGTGACCTGCCTACAGAATCTCAGGCTTCATGTGAAACAGTAGGGATGATTAAATCTAGTTTTGGGATACTCAAGTCTCTTGCAACCTCCCCAGTCCTATTGCAGTCCCTATTAACCAAAATAAAAGCACGCGTCAGAGGGGAAGCTTTTTTATTTTAGGGTAGACATAGAAGTCAAGAGCCTTGAAACCCCTCTGTCCAGGTTTTTTTTTTAATATATATATATATATATATATATAAATAAATAAAACTGGTGCACAGGGTCCAGGCTCATTCTGCATTACAAATGGCAAATCATCTTCCCTCCCCCAGAACACCTCTCCCTGGAAGTTAGAGAAGATCTAATGCCCATAAAATGAGGGGTCACAATAGAACTACATTTATTTAGATAAGCATGTAAAATTTCTGGTTACAGTGATTAGTGTTGTAAAAGGTATCTGAGCACCTTACAAGTTCAAAATAGGATACTTAAGTGATGGTTTTAAAAAAAATCCCATCCTCCCCAAGGCTTTTGCTCTTGCATACATCTTTGCTTCTTAATCCTAATCTACAGCCTTACTATAGAAATCCTGCCATCCCTTCCCCAAACGCTACCATTGTATTTCAAGCCTAATCTGCAACAATCCTGGTAGCCCACTTCTGAGCATCTCTGGTAAGAGCAGGGCCCATCCAAGGACACAGTAGTCACAGAGGCAGAATCAGAAGCGGAGAAGGCAGAGATAAAGGAACACAAGAGAAATAGCAAGTATTGTGGTAGATTAGTTAAAAGTGGAGATGGAGGATCCTGTGCTGGTGCAAAGGAGAGGAAAGGCATCTCTGATCCAGCAGAGGAAGAGAATGCAATAAGGATGAAATGAAAACAAGAATGTGGTGTAGAGACAGGCAAGTGGGAAGTTGACTCTGGGGCATAAAGGTCAGGTAGACAAGGCAAATGGTATTTGGAAACACTGCAAAGGCAAACAGAGCCATTTGAATGGCAAGACAAGAAAACGTTCCTCACTTATATGGCAATACATAACGAACAGTGAGTGGTTCAGAATCCATCAAGCCACACAAACGTATCACCAGCATTTTTTCTGATGGAAGCCAGCTACTTTCCGCCCTCATCCCCACTCCTTTCAATACGCAAGCCGACAGAACTAGAGACAGACTTAGATAAGCCTGTTCCTTCCTCCTACTCAAAGTTCAGAGGTGGGGAACATGGTGACCATATTTACGGCAAAGCCCTGCTACCAAGTAGCATGCCCCCTCCCTAGAAAATGGCTATAAGTTGCTTCAGGAGCAAGCGCAAAGTCATCCGGAAAGAAAGGCCTTTCAATTATTCAGAAAAGCCCGTTTCCTTCTTGATGAGCAAAGCCAGGGTTTCATCCATGACTCCCCCTGAAGAGGAATTCAACCTCGCTCGAGATCAAGAGACCAGGATGGAATCGGAGCAGTGCTGCTCTTGCCCCAGCTGGGCTACGGACGGGGGAGCCTCTAGGGAAGAAGCAGCAGCTTCTGATCTGGGCTTCCCCTGGGCAGCCCGAGATTAGCACAGGGCGAAGGAAAGCCCCAGCGGCGAGGCGAGGCGATTGCCGCAAGCCGCGGTCGAGGCAGCCTGACTCACGCTCCAGCTATGAGGGCAGGGCGCTAGTGGCGCCACGTGCTGATGCTGGAGCCCGGGGCGGCCGCAGGAGGGCGGGCGCCGGGGCTGTCGCTGCCACCCCCGGGACGGGCGAGGGGGCGGGGGGGCACCCCACAAGCACAGGCGGGAAGAGGCTCCTGGGAGAGGACAAGCGGCCCCGCTCGGAGCCCGGGTACTCACCGACTCGGCGGAGGCGGCGGCCAGCAGGAGAA